ACTGACATTTTCACAATGTTCAATCTTCCTATCCACGAGCATGGGATGTTCTTCCATTTATGTAGATCTCTTATGGTTTCTTGAAGTAGTATTTTTGTAGTTTTCTTTGTACAGGTCTTTTGTGTCCCTGGTAACATTTATTCCCAAGTATTTTATTTTTTTTGGTAGCTATTGTAAATGGTATTGATTTCCTTATTTCTTTTTCAGCAATCTCTTTGGTGGTATAGATTTGGATGGTGATCTTGTATCCTGCCATGATGCTAAATCTCTCAGTTAGTTCTAGTAGATTTTTGACTGAGTCTCTTGGCTCTCTTTTCAGCAAATATGGATAGTTTAACTTCTTTACCAATTTGGATGCCTTTGGTTTCTTTCTTGCCTTATGGCCCTGGCTAAAACTTCCAGTACAATGTTGAATAGAAGTGGTGCTAGTGGACATCCTTGTCTGGTTCCTGTTTGTAAGAGGAATGGTTTCAGTTTCTCTCCATTGAGTATAATGTTGGCTGCTTGTTTTGCATAGATTCCTTTTACTATGTTTAGGAATGTCCCTTCTACTCCTATTTTGCTGAAAGTTTTGATGAGGAATGGGTGTTGGATTTTATCAAATGCCCTTTCTGCATCAATTGATATGATCATGTGGTTCTTCTCCTTTGTTTTATTTATGTGGTGGATGACATTGATTGTTTTTCTAATGTTGAACCATCCTTGCATACCTGATATGAACCCCACTTGGTCATATCAAGAATGCTTTTCTTGGTATGTTGTTGGAGTCTATTGGCTAGGATTTTGTTGAAGATTTTTGCATCTATATTCATGAGGGATATTGGTCTGTAGATTTCCTTTTGAGTGATGTCTTTGCCTGGTTTCGGTATCAAGGTTATGCTTGTTTCATAAAATGAGTTTGGGAGGATTCCATTCTCTTCTATGCTTTGGAATAGTTTGAGTAGGAGTGGTGTCAGTTCTTCTCTGAATGTTTGGTAGAATTCTCCAGTGAAAGTATCTGGGCCAGGTTTTTATTTTTATTGGCAATTTTTTGATGACCTGTTCAATTTCTTCTTTTCTTATGGATCTGTTCAACTCTTCCACATCAGTCTGTGTTAGGTTAGGTAAGTGGTGTGTTTCTAGAAATCTGTCAATTTGTTCCAGATTTTCAAATTTGTTTGAGTACAGTTCTTCATAGTATCCTGATATTATCCTTTTTATTTCAGCTGGTTCTGTTGTGATGTCACCCTTTTTTTTTCTTATTCATGTTATTTGTATTCTCTCCCTCTTTTCCTTTGTTAAATTTACCAGTGGTTTCTCAATTTTATTGATCTTTTCACAAACCCAACTTCTGGTCTTATTAATTTTTTTCTATTGCCCTTCTATTTTTTGTTGCATCGGTTACTACTGGAATCTTTATTATTTCCTTTCTTCTGGTGACTGTAGGCTTTTCTTGCTGTTCTTTTTCTAATTGCTGGAGATGTTGATTTAAAGTGTTGATTTTGGCTCTTTTGTCTTTTTTGATGTGTGCATTTATTACTATAAATTGGCCTCTAATCACTGCTTTAGCTGTGTCCCAAAAGTTTTGGTATGTTGTGTTTTTTATTCTCATTTGATTCAATGAAATTTTGAATTTCAATTTTTCAATTTCTTCTCTTACCCAGTCATTCTTAAGGAGGGTGTTGTTCAGTTTCCATGTGTTTACTCTTTT